AACATGTGATTGGAGTTTCTTCCATTTGTTTTGATTTCCTGTTTATATTTCGTTGTTATTTCGTCACCAGCATGGCAACGCATAAGATCCATGTTATTTTTTTCAAATCTTTAAACTCATTTTTTGTGCTTATCTTTGAGCCTATTAAAATATATAAAGGGATTCTGCACACCTACAGGAAAATAGCTTTCTAACGGTATGAATAGGTTTTCCCTACGATGCACACGAGCTGAGAAAAAAGGTTTTAAAGAAACATGCTTGCCTATTAATATATAGATAGATAGATATATATATATACACCATATTACCACACTACAAATGTAATTCTACAATATACGGTACATAGTTTTATCCAAACAAACGATCAAAACCCCCTAATGATATTGTTATTTGATTCAATAGTCAATGCACATAAGCGAGTCTTATCTTTCAAAGCAGATTAAATAATACAAAGGCAGAGGAATGCGCGAGAACGAGGTCACTTCACGGTTGCTATAGAAACGACGAAACTATCCATTAGAATTGCGCGCCAACGTCAACGTCAACTAAACTCCAGACTGTATAAACACGCCGAGTGTGTAGTGTTCGACGGAGCTAGGCTACTTTCAGTTGGCAAGACTGGCTTCTAGCCTCAAGCGACGTGGTTCAACCACGAGAAGCGCCTCAAACTCCTGGGTAATCCCCGGTTAGCTCCTCCCACTCTGCCCCCTATCCCCACCTAAAAGACGAGCAAGTGGTAAGTCGGTCGGGAGAATTGACGACAAGTTGGTTTCTCGTATATAATAATTTAGTTTTACAGGCCGGTCAACTGGAATGACGATGAAATAACTTGTCGACGTACTGGTTTTCAGTATTTATCTATTTAATTAAAAAAGACGGTCTAGTGGCCAGACGACCAAGTATCTTGTCGGTCTACTGGTAGGCTCCCATCTGGCATAGCTGACCTCTGCTAACCCACTCTGACCGTGCTACATCTTCTTCAACACTATACACATGGTATACGGTATATCGAAGCGTTTTGTATTCTAGAAGCAAAGGTTGAAGTCGTGTCGTCTCAGAGAACAGTTATACAATTAATTGCTCTAATTTTGTATTATTGCTTTGTAGTTGAAAAAAAATGTATTAATTAGGTTTTAATTTTACCTACATTCAGTACAATAATATTTTAATTTTTAGACACGATGACTTTAATAAATTAAATTATAGACATAAAAGTATGGGTTGCAAAATACAAAGCACACGTCAGTCGACAGCTTACAGATTGTTTAAATGTTGAACAAATTAACTTGAAAGTCAATAAAGAATTTAAAATGTTCCGCATTATACTGTGAATTATATTTTCTTGTAAATTCCTTAGATACCGGTGGTTAATATTCGGCCTTTTCAAGACCTCGTGGGTATATTTTAAAGTTGTTTTACGGTAATAGGAGTCCCTATTAAATATTATACCTCATTCTGAGCAGGAGTAAAATAATGAACATCGTAAGGTTAATGAACAAAGATCGATCTCCACCTGATAGTTCCTCAGGCTGACAACAGAAACAATTTTATTTCAACTGTTATTAGGGAAAGGTCACAAAAGAATTTTTTCTGGTACACTAATTGTATTTCAACTGTTATTAGATCACAAAAGGTTTTTTTACTGTACGGTACTCGTTAATACACGCTTATTCAATGTCAATAATCATACAAAATACTGTATAATATTGACCATTTTAAAGTATGACACTTACTCGAGTCAACATTGCACAAGGCAGCAATCAAGCAGTTATAGGTCGATTGTAATAGCCGTGGGCCCCGGCTCTCAGGCCTGTGCATGTAGTCTACTGCTACTCTACAGTACAGTTTAGTAATTAGACCGGTGACGTGGGAACTGGCCTCATACCTTTGTTTCCCAGGAGGTGGAGTACAGTTATATCACTGACTAAACCAACCTCGGCAACTACAGTACTTGCTGGCTGGTATGTGTGTGAGTGAGGGAAAATGACACTAACAGCTATGAAACAGGACATAGCTACTTGGTGATGAGAATACGTACGGTGCACATAAACACTGTACACTACACTTATGTGTACTGTCTGTGGGGTGGTCACTGAGGTATCGGGTTCAAAACAAGCCAATGGATTTTATCCAAGTGATAACGCCACAACGTGCGTTATCCTCCCCCGGCCTACAGCATGGTAAAACAACTGTGGAACAATGAAAACTCTTTTGTAAAATTCACCTTCAAAATTATATATTGTGTACAGCGGGAGAAAAGAGGATATAAAAGTATGCATACTTAAGTGCGATGAACATGTATACAGTATTTCCAATCAAAAAAAGGGATAGGAAATATAAAAACTTGATAGTAGCAGTGGCTTCCAGATCTGAAACCAGCTAATTCGACAGGTGATGGCGATAATGTAGGAAGATAGGTTTGGAAGCGCTATGGGGAACACCGACAACTCAACAGTTGATTTGGTTACGATCCGTCCCTTAAACCAACTGTGATTAAATCTTTAAAATACAGGGAATATCTCCGGGTTATAATATAGTATCACTGTAATGAGCCATGTTTTAACTTATTCACTAGATAATCTTAATGAATCCCTGGAATATTCTGCAAAAGCTACTGCTTTCCAATCAGCAGCAACTATCCAGCAGAAGTCTGCAGCACTGATCGTAGTTACTAAACACCTAGAGATCTGTAATGGTGTTTGCTAAATGCTCAGTCACCGAACATACTTATTACTTCTCTGTGGCTTAGTTAGCTGACCTCTTGAGTTCATATATCTTTTTAATTTACCTGTAGGTATGTTTAGGTATAGATAAAAAAAATAAGTAGCAATTCTGCAAAGATTATGCTCGAAAACCATGTGTTGTTTATTAGAGGTCTGTAGAGAATTTTCGACACTTTCGTATCATACTAAGCACACCAATAAATTCACTTCCAAATAAGATTTTAATTAGCTTAAAAAATCATCCTAATCCAACCTAACCTAACCTAAGGGTTTTATTTTACTAATTTAGGTGTAGTCAGCATAATACGAAAGTAACGATTTTCTTACAACGGTCCAAGCCCTGCTGTAAGTGACGACGAGGTATATTTACCCCGAGGTTTACCCATTTATCTTCCCTTTGGTCTTGGGCCTGGGAAAGGTAGGGTTATATAGTAATGAAACACTGCTCTGCATGGCATGATTGTCATGATAAATAGAATAAAGACTGTTGATTGTGTTTAGTGCCAAAAGTAACCCAACTATTGTTGACAACACTTCATATAGACAAAGATAATGTAATATGACGACAACGTGTATGATTGAAGCAACGTTGTTACTAGGTTAACTAAATCCTTTAATGCGGTTCCTCAAACTATATAATCTTGAGAGTGAAATTGGCTTACAACACTGACCGTAACATCAAACGCAACGTTTACACACAACACACAACCTGTTACGCACACAGACTCGCACGTGAGCTGACCAGCTGACCACGTCATAGTCACTCTCCATGCTTTCTGACGGTAACCCGCTGATTACTGATTACTGATTAGCTGATTAACAGTGATATCATCGTATTGATGCGGACACGCTCTCTACCGCCCAGCCGCTCTTGCATCACTCACCCTTTCTAGGCTTTTCATCTTTGTCATGGACGCGCTCATTCATGCGAAAGAACATTCTTCGAGGTTGTTAACAAATTTCCCTTTCTATAGACGAGCATAATAAGACCAGGATGTAGAGAATGCAGGATTCAATCAATCTTTTGAATAGAATCGATTTAAATGAATTTTACATATTCCCTCTTTGTTACTGAAAAAAGTGATTGTTTGGAGATGACAAAACCAGGATGTGAGTGAATACGATATTGAATGACATGAGAAAGGGAAAATTAAACGATAATAATTGTATAAAAGGAAAAATAAATAGTAAAAGTAAATACCTTTGTTGCGGAACACTTGCATGTTAAGAACATTGCCAATTGCAATATTGATTTTGCTATCCTATCCTATCCCGGTCGAAAAAAGTTAAATATAAATAAAATTACGCTTAATGAGTATCTAACTTTTGTGCGATGAGGGACACACAAATTTGCTTTTGTTTGAACGTAATTAAATATTTTTAAAACCACAATAAAGTTGGCCAAATTTAAGAAAACATATCATCCAAAATCTTGCTGTGTTATTAGTAATCCACATTTCTATTGGTTTATTCAATAAAACGTGAGAGAAAACATACTTCGTTTAGCTATTAATAAGACGGCTGCGGTATTTTACGCAATACTTTGTAGTTAAATAGCTGTCAAAAGTATTGTACAAACGGTACCCTTTTTCTTCAGGACTATACGTTGGAAAAGGAGCAATTTTTTAAACATACACATAAAGAAATCCATAACATTTGTCTAACCAGGCCCGTTCAAATGTTTGGACAGTTTGTCTAAATACTGTATTTAATATATAATTTGATATATAATTGATATATAATATATTATATATAATATATAATTGATATATAATTTAATATATAATATATAATTTTTTTATATAATATATAATTTTCTTAATATATAATTTAATATATAATTTTTGGAAGGAAACCACACAAATTAGTAACACGTTTGCTGTTTGCTCTATTGCCGATTTAAAAGTGTTACTATAATTTTTATAAAAAGTTTACCAAGTGAGGTATGTTGGTAGTGAAAAGGGGGTGGCTATTTACTTTTAAAATAAATTCTAAACTGAAATTGTATAGATTTTTGCACTAGGCTATACGTTTTAATAATTTTTTTACGATCTATTAAATTTCTCCAGAAATTAAATTTCCCATGAGTCATCACTGGGTGACAATGGCGGGTCCCAGGGTTGTCGGACACAGGTTGTCGTTGTTTGACACGGAAGTGTTGTCTAATTGTTGAAAGGTCGAGGTGTATGTAGACAATGGTACGGTGAACTCACCGCGCGCTCCCCTCCTCCTCGCCCCACAGATCTCCAGCGACTCCGGTGCCCAGTGCCCCAGTCAGCAGTCACTCGCCGGCGTCGTCCAGGTGCAGAAGTACGCGTCGCGGTGTCGTCGTGTAGTCTGTGCTGTGATGGGGTCCGAGCCACCCTCCGACGACTATGAGCCGTCACTGCGGCAGTGTCTGGTGGTGAGACCTCCTCAAGGCTCGTGCGGCTTCCACCTCAGTCGCACCCAGTGGGACCCGTACCCGTGGGTGAGCGATGTGGAGCCCGGCAGTGCCGCGGACAAGGCGGGTCTGGTGGTCGGGGACTGTGTTCTGGAGGTGAACGGCGAGGATGTCCTAGGGATGAGGATCGGCGCCGTGGCTCTCATAGTGTACGCTAGGGGAGGCCAGGTCCGGCTGCTGGTGTGGAACTCGGGCGTGGAGTACAACGGCGCGATCTGGGTAAGTAACGGCCGTACTTGTATATACCGTACTTGTTATAAATACTATAGGTAGTGTAGTTTACCATGAGCAATGTAATTTAGTGTATCTAGAGTCAATCCTTATGTAGAATTCCGTTAGTCAAATTGTCAAAACATGAAAAACGAAAGTATAAAGATGTTATTTGAGAACCACTCCATAGACCTGAATCAAATTATGTTTTTTGGTCGGGTAATACAGTAGGTAAATATATGCTGATGCTTGATGTCAAATCTTTGCGTGCATACCTTCAATTTGAACCCTCAATCATGAAAATCGGTCGGGTATAAGAGCCAAACGAACTCGGAAAAGAGAAACCAAATTTAACTCCTATAAGAAATACATGGGGAGCAAATTTTGTAGACGTATAAGCCGAGTAGGATCATAGATAAATATATGCCGTTGCTTGTTGGCGAATCTGTGTGTGCATACCTTCAATTTGATACCTCAAGCATGAAAATCGGTAGGGTAGAATAGCCAAACAAACTTGGAAGAGAAAAACCAAATTTAACTCCCAAAAGAATTACATGGGGAGCAAATTTCGTTTACGTATAAGCCGAGTGGGATTATAGATAAATATATGCCGATGTTTGATGGCAAATCTGTGCGTGCATACCTTCAATTTGAGACCTCAATCAAGAAAATTGGTCAGGTAGAAGAGCCAAACGAACTCGGAAAAGAAAACCCAAATTTAACTCCCATAAGAAATACATAGGGAGTAAATATCGTTTACGTATAAGCTGAGTGGGATTATAGATAAATATATGCCGATGCTAGATGGCAAATCTGTGCATGCATACCTTCAATTTGAGACCTCAATCATGAAAATCTGTCGGGTAGAAGAGCCAAACGAACTCGGAAAAGAAAAACCAATTTTTTTAAATACACAAGATGTTTATTTCTTGTCGTTTGTTTAAAAAGGTAAATAAAGTTAGTTTTTTGGATTTACGACATAATAGTACATTCATTTAATTTCTTTGTGGAATAGTACTTGATGGCAATCGATCGACACCCCTCTGGAATGGGTCAGTCCCTCTCAGCTTCTCATGAACAGACGATTAAGGAGCATATTGCCTCAGGTAAGAAATTTGCTTTGTAGAACAACAGATCTAAAGGATCTTAAAGAGAGAGAGGAAACATATCGTAAGAAGTATAAATACAACTAGGATAGAAGGCACAAAGTGCAAACTCTCAATCCTCTTCATATAGGAGACCCAGTTTGGATTGTGGACCTTAGAAGACATGGCAAAATTGTGAAAACCCTGCACAGTGCACAGCCCTCGTTTCCATATTTTGAAACTAATAAAAGGAATGTGAGGAGAAATTAATTCAATCTCAAACTGGCCCCTTATTTAAAATAGGAAAACAGTCAACAAAATTTGTCTGAAAATACACGTCAAACAGAACCATACGACCGTCGAAAGAGAAATACAGTATACACAAACCAAGCTGGTTGAAGAACTATCAAACTTAAGACAGAGGATGTTGTGAGAACAGTTTATTTCATAACACTTGTTAATTTCTGTTAATTTATAATCATATGTTTATTTCTTGTTGTTTGTTTAAAAGTTAAATGAAGTTAGTTGATTTGGATTCATGATATCAAACAGTACATTCATTTAATTTCTTAGTACAACAGTACAGTATTAAATTAGTCCGTAGAACAAAGCTATTATTGAAAGCAACCAATACTAATACTCATGGTAAGCACCAAAAACAACAACCTACACTGGTTGTCAGAGTGACTTGACCTTACTGTTGGAGCCTATCTTCAAATCTGCTGAGTTGTGTTGTGAGAGGCTGGGCAATACACGATCTCCCCTCAAACACCTCAACACGCCTCTCATACAGGATATGTGGCTCACTAGCTCACTGGCCTCAGCTAAAATAGATATGCATTTTTTTCTCCCAAATGTTTCAAACATGGTTTCCCAAACGAACAAGTGTAATGGTGTGCAAATTATTCTCATGGTTGGTTTTGTTTTACAAAAGCGAATTGTTCAACGGCCTTCAAATAACAACAGACCTTATCACTTTGTTTTGTACTTAACAGTAAACAATATCTCTTTATTGACTAGTTTCTATTCAACAGAATCTTCCTTTTGTCGCTTTATCGTAAAATGGTACAAAACCATTACCTACATAGTCTTACTGCTTACATATATATCATATTCATATCCATTACATATTATGTCTTTTCCTGATACGTTCCCATGAAAAAAAATAGGAAAACCACTAACGAATTTTGTGTTTAAGCATTACAACGTTCTTTATTCAAAATAGTTTGACTCAAAATAACTAAAAGTTCGTATATTTCAATTTTTGAACAAAGGTGCTTGCTAAAAAGGTCATATACTGTAAATTATTAAAACTGTTGCAACACAGTTTTCAACATTTAAATCTTAAATAAATTAGTAATGTTTTTAAAACAAAACACAATGAATTCAGACCTCGACCATGGAAATTTTTGCCCAGTTCTGTAACAAGAATTTATTCCAGCGCAACGTTTGTCAGAAGATCGTGATAGTAACTGGCGATGATTGATGCTGGGAACCAGCAAAATGGACGACACGGTCCATGGTTTAGTAGAGAGCCATCGGTCCATCGTGGCGTCAAAGTCTCCAATACCAGCATTATTGTTTCTTGCAGCGCGCTCTGTTTACTTACCCACAACTACACTGATTTGCTCCGTTGAAGAGTTTTTAAACTAGTCACTGTAAACGGGACAAACTGTACGGATCACTGACTCACTTGGGATAATAGTGTACTTTCTTTTCAGGAAACTATTTGAAGATGTTTAATGTTTTTCGTAAAAACCCGCCCTCTCAAGTGAAACTAAAAAGCATAAAAGAGAGTTGGAGTATACCATTATTTTTACTTTTATGCCAGAAACACCTTTTAGGTGTGTATTTTAGGATACAAATAAATACAAGAGGAGTGTGGAACACAGTGAGATGATCTGTTTAGCTTTGAAATTTTAAGTATACGGCTTATGGTGGTGCGTAGCCCTAAAGGAAATTATATTTTAACTACCATTCGCAGGTGCACTAGATCATAAGCTTTAAAATGGCATCTCAAACTGAAAAATCTGTAAGTAGGACGGATGGGAAAGGAATTTAACAGATAAACCACTTATCGTATTAAGCATATAGATTGAAGCAAACATTTTCCATAACTAAAATGCCCAACATTTTCCAAAAGTGGTAGGCCTAAATGGACCAGTATTACCCAGTTCACAAGCTCGGTCGACCAGTACACTCTTTCAAACACATCCTGATTCTGTTTCCTCGTTTCTTACAACAGGAACGACGCTGTACACAGAAAAGCACTTATCCTAATGCATGATAACACAAGCAAATCAATTTTAGTAATGGTCAACCTTGAAAACTTGATTTGGACCGAATATCTGAAAAACTGGAAACATTTTTGATAAGGAAAATCTACTCCAAAGATTTAACAAACTTGTTATATAAGAACCGAATATTTTGACCTCATGGGAATGAATAATTAAAATGTTTCACATAGCAGACAAAAGTAGTTACAAGTCTGCATTTACAAAACATATCTTATATTAATACGTAAGGGATGAACACTACTCCTTCCTTATTTATGAACCAATTTCAACGTTCAAGGAGTTTTGCATTTACGTTTTAGAATTTAAAAGTTCCTACCCTTAAGGGCGTGAGACCCTTTCAAAGGTCGGGTTTTCACCATAAGAATTAAATTGAACAAATTTAAAAACAAACAAAATCAACTGTTTATAAAAAGAAATTTACCAGCTTCTTGGGAGTAAAAATGAATGTTTGTAATATTCAGGAGGTTATATACCAATCCAAATAGTTAATCTGTTTTGTTGGAAGAACAGAAAATTTTTTGAGTTTAAAGTAGAAATATTGAAAACAGGAGGAGGTTAAGAGGAAATCTTATACGTATGAGGAGAAGAGCACTAGAGAGGTCTGGTCTAACAGTAAGGAATCCAGATACACAATCACTTGGAGGGATTAATAATTTTACCAGTTCTGCTATGCAACTTATTTTGCAAGTAAAACAATCATGAAGAATATACAAATCATGTTTTGTCACAGAAAACCTACCTAATGTCAGATCAAATGAATACATGCAAAAAATTTTTACTGGTAACAGCTATAAGTCGGGAAACATTCGTATAAAACACTAAAAAATAAGAAATAAAAAATAAAAAATATTTTTACAATACCTTTTTTATTATTTCAACCCCTTTTTTATAGAGTGAGGGTTTCAATTAGTTACATAAGCTTTGAGTCGAAAATTATGACTGTTATTACTGCAGTTTTAAATAACGCCTGTATAATAACGGTACATCGATGGTTATATGCACAAACATTGTATGTCCAATTTTTTTCACTTTTGACATTTTTATATATTTGGAAAGCTGTAGTCTTCATCTTTCAGATCACACATATTGTATGTCCATATTACAATAGGAAAAATTAATATAAATTCTCAAAATAAAAGTGTTCACTTTGGTATGATGTAATTTTATCCTGCACACTTGTAGCATGTCCAATGATTGCAGTACCAGCTGAACAGAGAAAAACTCATTTAGAGCACAGATATAGTATCTTCGGACTTGCAATGATTGTGCATGAAAATTCAAGGCCTACTATCTCTAGTATTTGTTTTTCATCTTGTAGTATGTCCAAAAATCTGATGATCTCAAGTGCACTCTTATAGTATGTCCACATTTTATTTTACAATTAGGTTAGGTTTAGGACATACAGCATCTGTGCACAACAGAACATAACACCAAAAAAGAATCCGTGAATTGGCTAAAGGTAAATTGGTTTGGGTTTTAAAAAGCAAACCCCTTTGAAATTCTATACAAGTACGAACTTAACAAGGAAATAGAGTTTTTGACTCTTGATGTACGAATGGATTCCGAGACGCCATTTGTCTGGAAACAACAACTTCTCAGTCCAAAGTACACCGAGCCTATTCCGGTT